AATGTGAAAACATCCTTCTAGTGACAGACTCTGCACATACAGCATTCTGCACAGTGAAGCTCAAACATCACACTGTAGCAACACATTTTTGACTGGAGGGCGACTTTAAATAAATAATCACCAGTGGCTACATCATATTTGGTGCTTTAATGGCTGCAAAAGTCAACACCTAATGCGAGAAAATATGTCTTCACTTACACCTGCACACTGAGGCATTTCAGCAACTCCTTTGTGTTTCTGAAAACTCATTATTTTCCATCTGTATCCCTTTCCCTGAGTGTCTTTGCCTCTCCCGATCTGATAACACCTGCTTTGCCTGAAGAACCTGCCGGCTTCCCCCCTGGACTTTTTGGCCATATTCCTGATTTATGTTCCTGTGTCTGCTCTTTGAATGTTTGGGTTAAATCACGCCGTGTGTATTTTGTGTGATTCACCCACTGAGTGACAGAGAGGTCATCACTTCCAGCCTGTCAGAGACTGCAGGGCCGTGCTACCTCGCCAGCCTGTAATTATCTCCACTAGCAGGCCCCTCTTTTTCCCTGTCACCCTCTCCCTCGCGTTCTCTCGCTCAAATCGGATGATTACTGGATGTTAACATTGGAGATTACGCTGCTGAAAGGGCAAGCACAGTGGGTGCTCTTTGGAGGGGGAATACGGATTTTTGATATAACGAACATATCGCAAACGCTTTACGTAGACACGCTGGGAAGGATGTGGGCAAAGGGCTAAACTGCTGAAACCTGCCTTCAAGCCATAGTTGACCAGCAGTCATGACAAATAAACTGACACTTACCATGGTTGGATTTGGAGGTGTGCACGGGGGTGTAGTGGTTCTTGGATGAGGTTCTGACTGGTGTGTTGTCTTTGGGCGAACCGTTCATCGCTGCAAAATTCTCACAGTCATATTGCGATATGGGGATGGGCCCCTGCTGCCTCAGGATGTCTGCAAGGGCCCTGGAAACAAGAAGAAACAACTGTTAATACTGCACCGAAAGATGTTCCTCTCCTTGTACAGTTTTTCTCTCTCAGTGCAGCTGAACTGAGTTAAAAACGAAGTGATGGCACGTCTGTTTTCTGCACACCGAATGGCTGCTAATTGTTAAGACAGTGTTGTGCTATTATGGGTAATTCAGGGCTGCTCTGTTTCTTCTTTTTTTACGTCTGGGAACATGACGAATGTTCATTTGCAAGAGAAACAAACGTTGGATGTGCGAGCATCTCCTCTAATTGGGTTGAATTTGAATGTTTTTCAGACCGCACCAGGTGCATATGGAAGGATGGAGCCCTCAAGGGGGAGAGAGAGTGGAAAAGAGGGAGAGGCAATCATGATGAAAGAAAGTTCAAAAAGTGTTTGTTTGCTTTTTTCTGGCATCGCTTTTGAGAAAGGGAAATCAAATTACTTTTGCAGCGCTGCAGCGGCTCAAAGTACGACAAATGTATCACCAATGTAACCTTTGCTTTTAAATTAATATTTTAACCCCCCCCCATCTTCCTGTTACTTATTGAATGTGCAGCAGTGCGTGCATGTCACACGACCTTGATACAGCCCCAACGTTAACACTATCCATTATTCACAGTCTTAAGATTGCTCAACTGTTGAATAATGCATCCAATAAAAAAAGGCTATTCAATCTTGAGGGAAATAATGTGTGTCAGCATTTGTTCATTGATGTGGGTACAGGCTACAACATGTGGTCCACTCATGTATGATAACTCTCATATGGTGGAGCCCCAGGAGGAAGCAGGAGCCAGCTGAGAAGGTGAGACCATGCTATCCTATCTCTGCTAAACACTGCTGTTAAAGCCCCCACCTGAACACCCCAGACAGCCTAATGTGCATAAGGTGAGGGTTGGGGGTACAGTTTGTGAAGTATGATGTTTGACAGCCTTGCCTCACAAGCCAAATATCTTAGATTCAAACATGAGAGACGCCATTTTTTTTTTATCCCGGCTCAGAGGGGAAAAAAAGAGAAAGATTCTGCAGAAGATCTGCAACATAAACGAGCAAACATCCAATATAAACGTTGGGCAGCAGTCCTTCTCACTCCCACACATGCACACACATACACACACACGCTCTCTCTCTCTGTGTCTTCGTGAACACCAGACCACCACAATCACTGTAACAGTTCTCTTTCAACTCCTCCGTAATTATTTGAGGCTTGCACAGATTCAACATCTGCTGCAGATCTGATAGATCTGAAAAGTGCTCATCAGCTTGGCTTCAGATAACAATCTGTTCATTAATTGAAACACATTGCCGGCATGATTTTTACTTCATTATTTCTAATATAGAGGAAAAAAGCACTTCAACTTAAGATACAAATATTTTAAGCTGCATCATTCTGCATTGAATAGCAGTGCATCTGACATGACTGTAGGCCTGTTTCTGACATGAATCTTGACCTTTGACCCCTGTCTGCAAATATCTGCCTCTATTATTGTATTATAGTGGGACTTTCAGTTTTTTTACTAGGGGAGAACACTTTAAAGGAACATTATGTGATTTTAAACAGACTCCTACCCACTCACCTGTGTATGTTCATCTCCTGTGGCGGCTCTGTTGCTTTGTCGTACGCAACTTTGGCCGACACTCCCAACACTATGATGAAGGCTATGATCCCACAGGTGATATAGACCGCCGTGTTGGTCTGATCCATGCTCGGATCGTACGTCCCGCCTGTCGGGATGGGCGACGGGGTGACCGTCTGCACCCACACCGGTGTCTGGTAGTTCTTGCACGCTTTCTGATCCAGCCGGTCCTTCTTGTACTCGCAGCAGAAGCGCAGGTAGCACGTCCCGCAGCAGTACCTGTGGTCCGTGTTGTTGCACTCGAACATTTTGTCGTACTGGCCGCTCACGTCGTAGTAGCCCAGGCAGGTGTCGTGGTTGCTGACGGGCGCCGGCTGCGGGGTCTTCTGCGGGACCACCGTGGGCACCGCGGTGGCTTTGGGAGCCTTCCTGGCCGCCGGTTTGGTTTTTTTACCGCCTGTAGCGGCGCTCAGCACGCTCAGCGGGTCCAGGTATATCAGCAGCAGCAAAAGGTGCTTTATCCCCATGGTAGTGTGAAGAACTCTTCGAGTCTTATGTTCTGGCAAAGACTTTAACTCTGGTTGAACATGCAGGGGGTTTAGTCTTGTGCAAGTTTCGCCACCGAGTCTTCCCCTACACGCTCAGTCTCCTGTGCCGCCGTCATGCTGAATACAACTGTGTATGGACTCTTGTCAAGGGCATTTCTCGGCTATTATTATGCAATGGACGAACTAAAGCCCATTGCGAGCCGTCGGGGATGAGTGGCGGGAGAGCACCATATCCTGACCGGGAGGTAAGCTGAAGGGTAGCCGGGCTCCGTGCGCTCTCCCTCGGCAGAGCGTTGTGTGAGAGACGCGCTGCTGTCGCTGTCCAAGGTGCTGATTCCTGGAGACCTCCAGTCAGTTGTGCTCCAGTCAAAGTTAGGCTGGAGAAACACAAAAGCCAAACGGGCTCATTAGGTATTATCCCCACGTCAGAGGCACGTCATTAATTAATTAGCAGGCTTCTACACGTCCGAATAACTTGACAGGTTTTAGTCATGAAAAAAAAAGATCCTATTTGAGGTCGTTGCCTGCAGTTTTTGCACATTCAACTTGGCAACATGACACCGACACAGCAGCAGCATCTCCCAAATCAATGTGTGTTATCTTTATGTTACAGCCTAAGCCCCTCTGCACTCAACAGAATGTGGATACAGAGAACATTTCTGTACATGTTTTAGCTCAAATTAAAATATAACTTGAATATATTTTATTTTTGTGCATATATTCAAATAGTGGGAGTGTGAAAAGCCAGCCTACCTCAGTTAGGATACCCGCTGGGGAGTTGCTCTCTGTCTGGGTCTCCGAAAGTGAGGAGAATATCAGAGCTCTGAACCCCTCTCTCCCGCTCCCTCTCTCTGTCTCTCTCTCTCTCTCCCTCTCTCTCTCTCTGCTTCTTTTCTCCTCCTTCCCGGCTCTCTCCCTCCCTTCGTCTCTTACATCACTTCGGCGCTGGCGTCAGAACTCAGCCAAGTATCGGAAAATTGCAGCCCCCTCCTCCTCCGAGCATGCAAGAAAGCAAGCTTGCTTATTGGCATTAACACTCCTAAATGAAACGGCTGCACAGACCCCTGTCCGCAGATAGAGAACATGGTTGCTGGCTGTCTCCTCCACCCACCTCCACCCCTCTCTCCTGCATGTCTCAACACTCTCATGTTTACTTGCATTCACATTTCCTCGGCCCCTTTTTGCACAGCTGGCTGTTATCATGTTGCAGCTACATGCCTGCAAACAAGCATTGCTTACAGGATGAAGCAGTAATTGGCTCCCAGTTAACACACCCTTTTATTTCAGATAAAGTCGTTCATATTGGTTTGTAGCCAAGCCATGGCACCTGGGGGATTATGGAGAACTGATAGGGCTAAATTACCCAGTGAATTGTTTTTCAACACTGCTTCACTGAAATGAACCAAAGCGGTATAGAACACTCCTACACACACAGCTCTGGCCTTTTTAAAGAATGCCTTTTTACTCAATATCCACAGCTGCCAATGAAAAATATATTTGTGTGTAGATCTTTCTAAATAAAGACTTTCACACACCTTTAATCACATGGGAGGGCCAGATCAGCAGGTATATAGGGTTGGTTATGATGAAAAGCTGCTCTCAGTGGCTCCTGGCTGGATATTCCACACCACATTTGCACTTATCACTTTCCGATCACAAACTAGGGAGGCTGACATCAGCAGCTACAGAGAGAGGTGTGGAAGCTGCAGGGTGAGAGCAGGACCTTAAATTGCAGCTATCTGCCTTGGTTGGGAAACGCATGCAACGTGACGTGAATACAGCACATTGTTTCTGGGGAAAGTTTCTGGCAGGCAGGAGGCTGTAATGATGTGGGCCAAAGAGGCACTGGTAAAGATCAGAGGAAAGACAGAGAGAGTCTGAAGACCTGGAGAGAACAAAATCTAAAGGGAGCCTGTTGGAGGAAATACCAGTTTTTCCTTAATTCATATTTTGCTAACATGTCATCATGGATGTTTTTGTAGGCATTGTTAAGATGTGATTGTGTTTATGGTGTTTAATTTAAACTTGCTGTATCAAAATCCACCTTCCAGAAACCTTATTACAGCTTCACAGTCCTCTTATTCTAAGTAACTGAACTGTCAAAGTTTAGGTCGTGTTACTTAGGAGGATTTTGGAGAAATGGATATAATAGTCATAGGTATGTTATTGATATGTTATAACCTGAAAATAAGAATCATTGCGTTTTTGTTACCTTAGAATGAGCTGTTTTTAACTACAGACAGGTGGCATTCCATGGAGGCCACCATTTTAAACCCGCCATGTTTCTACAGTAGCCCAGAACTGACAAATACCCTTTCACGTTTTATTGCCACTGTAGTTTCTCCTACACAATTCACAGCCACCAAGGTCATCAAATACAGACACAAGTGGTGTTCAGTGAGTTGCAATCTGCAGCTTCACCACTAGATACCTCTAAATACTACACATCCTGGTCCTGTAAAAAATGGTCAGAGGGCGACCTGGCACCGTATCACAGGCCAGACTTTGACCTTGAGTTGAGTATCATTTTTGTGTAGGGATTTTGTGCTATGTTTTGCGTGGAAAGCAGAGGGGAAAATAAGTAAATGCAGATAAAGTCATAGCTGTGTAAAGGAGTTCTGCTCAGTGAGCTTGAACTCAGCAGAGAGAACTCCAAGTTCATTTTTGCACTTGGAAACTCAGAGTAAGTTCTGTATCATCATTACTAAGATGCAGAAAATGTTGAGTGGTAGAACTGACAAAGTTTGTTGATATTTCTTCAAAGCTCCACTAATAAATATTTTTGTACTAAAAGATTGATCAAAGGACTACGTGTAATGTGAAAGGGGTCATTTGTAGAGACAAACCCACAGAGAATTATCTCCCAACTTAAACCAAACTGTTCTCATCAGCCTTGTTTCCAGTAGCAGCAACAGCAGACGGCTGATTTCAACAAAAATAGCTCTGATAAACCCAGCGTACACTACCTGCCAGCTCTAAACCACAGACACTATAAGCAACTAGCTTATGAACATAGAGGAGCATTAAGCTAGATATTTCTCTCAGAAGCTGGTAGGGACCAAAAACAGAGCTAAAAGAGAATTAATACGGGACTTACATTTACTGGGATTACACAACCCCAACTCCTGATGCTAATGTTGCTCTGTGTTTGCTGGATGTTAATAATGTGGTGATAATATGACATTTTTTGTGTTTTCAGCTTATTCCATTGCCCCCAAGTGACCAAAAAATATTTAAAGGTCCAGTCTGTAACATTTAGGAAGACCTATTGGCAGAAATTGAATAAAATATTTATAGCTATGTTTTCATTAATGTATAATCACCTAAAAATAAGAATAATTTTTGAGAATAATTTTTGTTACCTTAGGATGAGCTGTTTTTATCTACAGAGGTGGCGGCTGTTGAACTGCCGTGTTTCTACAGTAGCCCATACTGTAGTAGTCTGTGATATAATTCCAGGTACAGTCACTAGAATTGCATGGCGCTTTACAGCAGTCACACACCAGCAGCTATTTTACTCATTTTGGTTAAACTGGATCATATTTTATGGAGAAAATATTTTCAGCTCTCAGAGATTTCCTAATGGAGTTTCCTAATGGACAGAGAGCTTTACTACCTGCTAAGTTATGTTAAGCACTAACTGCTGCTAACTGCTGCCAGGTAGACTAGGGATCTGAAGGAGCTTCAGATTCCTGTGAGGAGGAACTTTTCAGGCCCAGGACAGGCTGGAATGCAGGCAACATAACCAGACCATGTTTTGATCATAAGTAATATAATTATAGCAAATGCACGTGTACAGCTATCCATATTGCTGTCCAACTGGGGGTGCCAAATCACACAAATACCAAATCTTACATAGTGTTGCTTTAAGTCTCTCCTCCTCAACTGCAAATTCAGTTATGGCTGTTGAAATTTATTTTTGTGAGTTGAGGCTTTAACAAGAGTACACTAATGGACTGTGGATTTGCCATGATTAAAAAACAAAAACTGCTCATGAAACATTCAGAGCACTTTTACTTGCCAACTCTGCATTTGCTGTATAGCCAGTATATACAGTGCAACTTGCTAACTGCAAGACTGATTTGGTGAACACCACTCTGCTCGATTTTCAAATCATTGCTAGGTTGGGCATGATCTGCGTATGTGCTCGCTTTGAAAAAGCCAGCACTCAGCAGGTCAGGAGGGTGAGAACACACTAATTAAAGCTGCTGTGTGCTGATTGTCCATGACGACCTGCCCGGTTCACTAGAAATAAGTGCAGACTCACACTCAAATGACTCAATGACCACAGCCAAATCAGAGCTAAAATCAAACAAGATACGAGTGATCCAGTGTCAGCCAAAGCATTGCGACTATTCTATCTGTGCAGATTTAATTGTCATCTTCAATTAAAGGAAAAAACTTTGTTTTATTCTTTATTTTTCTTATTGTAAACAAATTTCATGTGCAGACCCAAACTAACAATTAATATATGTAAAGTAATAAAAAGTATTGTGTGTGTATCAAAGCCTGATATATCATCTTCCTCTGTACCATAGAGCTCCATTGTTGTTAATTAAAAAAATAAACAGAATACTGTCAACCCCCTCCATAAAATGTTTTGACCTAAACTACAATAATTACAAAATATATAAAGAAAATGATCCTCTCCAAGCTGTTATATGATTGAAAAAAAAAAAGATAAACTGATGATTACGAGACCTTTAAAAGTGAATCCACCTCCATCAGCAATGCCTGCCAAAGTCTCACAGTTGAACAGCCACTGGTGCCAGATCAGATATCGCTGCTGCAGATGGAGGTCACACAGCTGACCACCCCCTCGCAAATCATATGACATTGTTTATAAAACAGACAAACCTCAAACCCAAGTATGACTTCTGCATGAGCTGAGAGCAGAGGACTTTTCCTGACTGCGGCACTTTCACTGCTGTCATCCCTTTGTCGCTAACCCTCCCTGCTTCCCCTCCGGAGGAAATACTGAAGGA